AGCTTGCTGAAGCCATCATGGACTGCCTCTTTATGTGACTTGATATTGACTCTTGTCTCCGAGCCATCAATAATTTATTATAATTTTATTTTGTGTTTGCTTAGTGAGACCTAGCTTATTTTGTTTTGTTTTGATATGCCCAAATAGGCTGCTCATGTGCACTAGTTTGATTTTTGACACTGTTTGATCTCTAATGTCCTGTCACCAGATAGTTAGTTCTGTAACTAAATATGTGCACACCAGAGTCCATTAAATTTTCCTATATGGGATCAGCTCGGGTGTGCAGGCAGTTGGTCACCAAGTGTGTGATGCAGGCTCTCACCCCCAGTCCTAGAGAGGCATGGGTGATTGGTGCAGGCACTGGACTCTGGCTGTGGTAGGGGATCACGTGCTGAGCCAGGCAGGGGGCTTATGGCTGCCCCTGAGAGTCTGAAAGAAAAGCATGTCCCTGTTCTCTAGGGTGAATAGGTAGGTGAGTTTTGCAGCCAGGCTAAGAGCACCCCACTCTGTTGGCTGTAAAGACTCGAGGGCACCACTTTTTCCTGAACTTCTGTAGCAGGTGACTAGGCACTTTAGGAGCTACCACCAGTCCTCAAGATCCTGCTGCAGATCGATAAAAGTGCCTAGGAGAGGGGCAGGGCTGTTTCGAGGGTCACAAATCTGCCTATTCACAGCTGAAGCAGTTGAAGTTAAACTTCAGATGTTTGCCTTGTTGTACTGTGGCAGTGAGGGCTAACACTGTTGAGATGGGTCCCCACAAGTCTATAAAGGGGTGTAAGGCACTCAGAGTCTGTGGACCCCTGATTTCTGTGGCCAGCAAAGGAGCTGTGCCGACCCTGTGTTCCTGGCCTAGGGGAGCCAGCAGCTTATTTGTTCCCTCTTCAAGGTCAGGAGAATGGGTCAGGGCGCCTTTTGGGATCTAATTCCAGCTCAGTGGACTCCCGGTGCAGAGCAGGGAGGGAGGAGGTAAAAGGAAGAGAGGTTTTTCCCAAATCCAGTGCAGAGCGCGGAGGGAGGAGATAAAAGGGAGAGAGGGTTTTCCCAAATCCAGTGCAGAGCAAGGAGGTAGGAAGTAAAAGGGAGAGAGGTTTTTCCCAAATCCGGTGCAGAGCGCAGAGGTAGGAGGTAAAAGGGAGAGAAGTTTTTCCCAAATGGGCTTTTTGGTTTTTTTTTTTTTAATCGCCGTGATAGGGTGCACACATGTACTTATTCTAGCCTCTTGGGAGCTGCTCTTCACTGGTTCGGAGTGTCCAAGCAGAATCTCTGCTGCCAGGTCTCTCTCAATGTGGAAACTGCTTCTCGAGTGCGCACACCAGCATGGCGGTGTCTCTGCCTTTTCGCCACCGTGGCTCTAGCGCTCCTCACGTCTTCCAAACGGTCTTCCTCTCCCGTATGACTCAGATGGATTTCTTAACCTTGCCTTGATCAGGGCTGCCAGATGTTCACATAGAATCAAATCACTTGTTTTTCTGGGTCTTTGTTGTAAGAAGGATATAGGAAGCGTCTAACTACTCTGCCATGTTGACCACACCTCCCCTCTCTGGCTATATATTTTTTTTGTTGAGATTTACTTTGTGGCTGCATATATTTTAAATGCTTCATGTGTGCTTGAAATTAAATATATGCTCAACTTTTGAGTGCAGGGTTCTATATAATAGAAGTGTTATTCATTAGAATAGCAAGCTTGTTAACTTCTTTGTTCAAATCTTTTTCCTTTTCATTACTTTCAATCTTTCTTGTGTCTTTATATTTTAGGTATGTCCCGTATAAACAGCATATACTGAGATTTGTTTTTTTAATCCAATATGGCAATCCCTGTTAGCTGAAGAGTTTAGTCTATTTACATTATGGTGATTACTTGCATTGTTGGATTTATTTTTCCAATATTATTTTGGTCTTATCATTTACTCTACTTTTTCTGTGCTTTTGTTTCTTTCTTTCCTAATTTCTATTAATCAAGTTTTTCTTTTTAAATCCTCACCCTTTTCCTCCATTTGGTTTAGAAATTTTGCATTCTATTTTTATTCCTTTAGTAGTAATCTTTAAATTTGTACCATGAATACTTGACTTAGGAAGTCCTCACCTTCCTAAAAAACAATACAAAGAACGTCATTACCCCATCTTATCTCAAATGCTTGTTTCCTGTATTTGTTTCCACCTTATTTTTATACCCCCAAAGTTAATTGCTATTATTATATAATAAGCAATTATTATTACTGTTGATCAGTCAATGCTTACCTAGATTTACCTCATGTTTACCAACTTCTTGGTTTGACGTTCCTTCTTGCATCTCACTCCTTCATTCTGGATTCAATTTCTCTCTCTTAAACTACATCTGCTAGTAGTTCATAGTGAGAGTCTCTTATTATTAGATTGAACCATAAGATATTGCTGATATCTGACAGTTTTTGACCTACAATCTGTGGTTCAACCTAATAGTAAACTCTCTCAGTCTTTGCTCTCTCAATATTTTGCTTAAATTTTATATAAACTCATGGACTTACTACTCTGGTTTTAGCCAGTGGGGATTTTCCTTGCTTCTTTGAGGGCTCATTGACAGTGTTTATCCTATTTTATCTAATATTTTTAGAAATTTTTAGGTTGAGAGGTTTTTAGAAATTTTTAGATTGAGAGGTTCTTATATTTTGATGTTGTTTCACACCGTTTCATGACTACTCTGTCTTCATTATGGATCTTAAATAATTAAAAAGACTCACTTTGTTTTCTTCTTGCCTTTAATTTTAATTTGTCTGATATTTATATTGCCACTACTGCTTTATTTACATTTGGTGCATCTTTGGAGCCCTGCTGGTGCAGTGGTTAAGAACTCAGCTGCTAACCAAAAGGTCAACAGTTTGAATCTACTGGCTGCTCCTTGGAAACCCTATCGGGCAGCTCTACTCTGTCCTATAGGGTCGCTGTGAGTCAGAATCAACTCGAAGGCAACAGGTCGGGTTTCCTGGAGAGAGGAGCAATTGAAGAGATGGAGAGAGGCCAGGAATGACACATCTCAGATTGGAAGGAAACAACAGGAATGAGGAAGAAGCATTTCTCCTTAACAAGAGATGGGGGAGAAAAAAACAACATTTGACCAGTGCTTGCTGTACTTTGAACCCTGGCTAGTCAATTTAAATTGATTATTTTAGTTAATCTTCACAAAACTCAATGAGGTGGTTATATTCCCTTTGAAAAATTGAGGCTCAGGGAATTTAGTATTTTGTCCAATCTGTAACTTATATACAGAAAATGAGGGGAAATTAGTCCCTTACCTCCTACAGTGAGTTTATAAATGCCAAGTACCTATTATTCCAACCTAACGTTTCATTTATTCTATTTGCAGAGGTGCTTTTGATGCTCAAACTAATTTTAATCTTCCCAACCATCTTCATATAAATGACACTGAGTGTCTGCACGTGCATTGTCGAGGATTAGAAACCAGTTTGGCTGAATGTACTTTTACTAAGAGAACTACCGGGTACCAGGGTTTAGCTGGTGTGATATGTTACACCCAGAGCGTCGAAGGTTGGTGGAGTATTTGTCTTATATTTCCCTTCTTTCAAAGTTGTTTATGTCACACCAAGCCAATAGTAAACAAATGATTGATACTCAGTTGCCAGCCACAGAGGCCATGATAGGGCCTCTATCATATTTTAAGTTTTAGAGGCTAGATTGGTACTTCCTCCTTATTGTACTTTTTGCCATTCAAATGTTACTCCATTTCAGATTCTTATATGAGAAGCAGCATTGCGTGACTCCCCTTTACTTCCTGGAACATCTGAATCAAAGTTAGTATAACAAACACAAGTTAATCGAGCATCAGAGGAAACTTCAGCATCTCCTTTGAGAGGGCCAGATTATATACATTCCTTTAAAATGTTTAAGTGATCATGTCAGTGCCTCAGTTTCTAGGAAATCACTGCCACTTTGCTTTTCCATCCTGGCACTGGAATATTTTAGCTATGTATATGGTGCTAAAGGCTAAAGTCATACCCTTTCCTTTTCGGTGCTAAAAAAGCCATCATCAAAATGTAAACGGCAAACAGACAATCCACAGAATAGGAGAGAATATTTGGTAACCATATATCTGGTTTACCCAGAATATATAAAGTGTTTAATATCCAGAATATATAAAGAACTCCTACAACTCAACAACAAAAAGACAAACAATTTTTAAAAATGGGCAAAGGACTTGAATAGACATTTCTCCAAAGATATACAAAAGGCCAATAAGCACATGAAAAGATACTCAACATCATTAATCATTAGGATGATGCAAATCAAAACCACAATGAAATACCACTTCACCTCCACTAGGATAGCTATTATCAGAAAAATAGAAAATAACAAGTGTTGAAGAGGATATGGAGAAATTGGGCCTTTATCCTTTGCTGGTGGGAACATAAAATGGTACAGCCACTGTGGAAAACAATATGACAATTCCTCAAAAAGTTACACATAGAATTACTATATCACCCAGCAATTCCATTCCCAGGTATATACCCAAAAGAACTGAAAGCAGAAACTCAAACAGATACTGGTACACCAGTGTTCATAGTAGCAATATTCATAGTAGCTGAAAGGTGTCCATCACCAGATGAATGGATAAACAAAATGTGATATATATATATATATACACACACACACACGCACAAAGGAATATTATTTAGCCATAAAGTCTGAAGTTCTGATACATGCTACAACACAGATGAAGCTTGAAAACATTATGTTGAGTGAAATAAGTCAGACACAAAAAGACAAATATTGTATGACCCCACTGATATGAAATATTTGGAATAGGCAAATGCATAGAGACAAAAGTTCATTGTGGTTACCAAGGGCTAGGCAGAGAGGGAAATGGGGAGTTATTACTTAAGGGGTACTGAGTTTCTGTTTAGGGGGATGAAAAACATTTGAAAATAGATAGTGGTAATGGTTACACAACATGACGAATGTAATTAATGTCGCTGAATTGTACATTTAAAAATAGTAAGAACTGCTATTGTTTTGTTATATATATTTTTCCACAATAAAAAAATGTAAATGGCACTGCCTAAGTATATCTTGATAGGGGGTGGGGATTAGCGTAGCAGCATGAAAGGAATGGGTGAGCAGTGTTTGCCGAAGTCCAACAAGTGCTGCTGATTCCTGACCCCCTCATCTCAGTGAGTGCAGACTGCTACAATAAACTTACTGGTTTTCAGGGATAATGGAAAGGCCTCCATAAGCCAGCTTTGGAATTTGTTTTCCTTATTAACCAGACATGCTATGTTGATAAACCAAACCAAATCCATTGCTCTCAAGTGGATTCCGACTCATAGCAACCCTGTAGGATAGAGTGGAACTGCCCCTATAGGGATTCCAAGGCTGTCCATCTTCACGGAAGCAGATTGCTACATCTTTCTCCTTTAGAGTGGCTAGTGGGTTCAAACCACTGAACTTTCAGTTAGCAGCTGTGTGCTTTAACCACTGAGCCACCAGGGTTTCTTTCTATGTTGACACTACCAATATATTTTATATCATTTTTTATTTGAGGCCTGATTTCATCTTGTGGTTGTTGTTAGGTGCCATTGAGTCTGTTCTGACTCATAGCGACCCTGTGTACAACAGAACGAAACACTGTCCTGTCCTGTGCCAGCCTCACAATCATTGCTATGTTTGAGCCCGTTGTTGCAGCCACTGTGTCAATCCATCTCTTAATGACCCCATTATTCCAAAAATGTGGCATCATGCCACAACTCCGTAAATAAATTTTACAAAGATCATTTCTGCTTTACAGATTTTGTACGAAAGGACAACATCTTTCAGTGTGTGAATGGAAAGCGCATTTCTCAGGAGGAGGCCTGTGATGGTCTTAATAACTGTGGAGATCAAAGTGATGAGCTGTGCTGTAAAGGTAGACGTAAATGTAGTTTTTGAATCCCCCAAATGCATTTTCCTGACTAAAAAAGTAAAAACAATGTTACCATTGCATTTTAGGATTTCATCTCAATCCATTTTAAGAAATGAAAACAACTGTTCTTTTTATGTTTTCCCAGAGTGTCGGGGTAACAGTTTCCTTTGTAAATCAGGTGTTTGTATTCCAAAAGAGTATAAGTGCAATGGAGAGGTGGACTGCATCACAGGAGAAGATGAAATTGGTTGCCAAGGTAATTTAAAGTGTTTTTGGTTACTTTTTTCATTATTCAATCCAAGAATTCTGAAACGGGTGAATTGTAATTTTAAGTGACCACAGGAGGGTGTAGCAGTAAGCATACTGAATGGACATTGGAGGAACTATGGAATGTTCATCTCCTCATATCTTCATTTAATAAATATTTATTTATTTTAGAACTTTTTTTTAAGAAAAATATTCCTACATACATAAAAATAGACTAGTAAAATGAACCCCAATGCACCCATCTTACAGATTCAAAAATTTCAATATTTTGCTACTCTTGTTCATCTATCCGTCAGCTTGCTTGCTTTTTTGTTTTTTTGTTGGAGTATCAGAAAGCAAATTTCATACATTCTATCACTTCGCCTAGAGATGTATATCTCTCTAATGATAAAACCCATTGTTACCGAGTCACTTCCCACTCATAATGACCCTATAGGACAGAGTAGAATTGTCCCACAGGGTTCCCAGGCTGTAATCTTTACAGGGTCAGACTACCACGTCTTTCTCCCACAGAGCAGCTGGTAGGTTCAAACTGCTGACCTTTCAGTTAACAGCCGGGTGCTTAACCACTGCGCCACCAAGGCTCCTCAAGAGAGACAATTAACAAGAGAAATGAGTAAAACAACAAGTGCTAAGTGCTAAGGACAAAATATAAAGCAAGGGAGTTTTCTTAGTTTCTTATGCTGCTGAAGCAGAAATACCACAACTGGATGGCTTTAAAGAACAGAATTTTATTTTCTCACAGTTTAGGGGGCCTGAAGTCCAAATTCAGGGGACTGGCTATAGAGGAGGGGAACCCTGGTGGTGTAGTGGTTAAGAGCTGTGGCTGTTAACCAAAAGATCCCTAGTTCAAATCCACCAGGCGCTCCTTGGAAACCCTATGGGGCAGTTCTACTCTGTCCTGTAGGATCGCTATGAGTCAGAATCTAGTCAGAATCAACTCGACGGCAGTGCATTTTTTGGTTTTGGCCTATAGGGCAAGTTCAGTGTCTGTGGGCTCTGGGAGAAAGATCCTTATCTCAGCTTCTGTAGCCCCCGTGTTCCTTGGTTCCTTGTCAATCTTCAGGTGGCATCTATGCTCCCCGTTTGTGCTTCCAACCCTATCTAATCTGCTCTTTTTATAATGCTGGAGTGATTAGGTTTAGGGCATGCCCTACACTGATGTGACTAATTAACATTCCGTAACAAATGGAATTACATCCACAGGTATAGGGGTTGTAAGTTTTGCATAACTATCTAGTAGCTTCCTGTTGGATAAGTGTTCGAATATATCTAAAATACTAATGTTTCTTTTTCATTCAAGTTGAAATGATGTCCTTGTTGTGGTGAAATTGGCGTGTGTTTAATTGCAAGATGAGAAATCTGTTATGCAGTAGGAAAAACAAAAATAAAGATGACTTCCTGTGGTTTTTTTGTTTTATTCAAGTGAAAATGATCTCTTGTCATAGTGAATTTTTTTGTGTTTTGCTTTTAGAACGTCGACATCCTGAACTTCAAGGTAAATCTGTTTTTATAATAGAAAATTTATATTACAGTATTGAAAACAAGAGTGAGATGCTAAAGCTTTTCTAATATGTAGATAGTATGGATATAGTGTACTTTTACTTTTTGCTCAAATAAAAATTACCTTTGCTGAGGTAAATTTTGTTTTGTTTGTTTTAGGTTTTGAACTTATGCCACGAGGTAACACCTTTATTAAATTCTTGGGATATTGTGGAATTTAAACAAAACTAAGATACTGTTGTGTTTTCATGTCGTTAAGTGCTGTCGACTCAGTTCCAAATCCTAGCTACCCTCTGTACAACAGAAAGAAACGCTGCCCGCTCCTGCGCCATCTTCACAATCCTTGCTGTGTTTGATGGCATTGTTGTAGCCACTGTGTCAGTCCATCTTGTTAAGTCTTCATAGATGTGAATGTAAATGTTAACTTAGGGTGATGTGACATGTGTTACCAATAACTTGCCTTTAACATTAGTTTAGACACAGGGGCCATTTTCCACTATGTGATAAAGTCCCATTCTCACAGTCCCCACCTGCAGCCTGGACCCTTCCCTGCACATTTCACCTTTGCCAAACGCCCTTCTCCTCTTTATCTTCAAAGCCATGGCAGCTCCTGAAGAAATTGACACCAGTGGAAGAAACGTCTTTTCACGAGAGATGTTCTCTGATTTTCTTATGTAGGCAAAATGTCCACAAATCCTCCAGCTCTTTGGGGTCATCCTTTTCTTTAATATTCATATAAAAAGACACAAGTCCTCAGTCCACAAGTTTATGGTCCTTCTCAGGATTTCTTAGGATTTCTGGGGACATACATGGTCAAAATCACTCCTTGCTCTGAATACCTATGCTTAATGGCTCCTTGGTATTTCTTCCCACTCATATTTCCACCCAAGGCTGCTGTTCTTTTTCCCCTTCTTCATTTCTTTTCTCCCTCCATTTCTACCTCTCTTCATTCCATCCTTTCTTCCTTCTCTCCTTCCTTCCCTCTTTCCAGCCTTCTTTCCCTCCTTGGTTATTTTTACTGCCCTCCTACCTCTCTCCCTCCCTCCTTTGCTTTCTTCCTTCCTAGTTTTGGACCTCAGGTGCGGGTGGATGAGTTAACCATATTCCTCAGTTCATTGCTCACTACCATCATTGGTCCAGGCCGGGCCCTTCTCTACTTTTAATTGCTCTTTAACCCTGTACCAACCAAACCAAAGCCACTGCCATTGAGTCCATTCTGACTCATAGTGACCATGTAGGACAGAATAGAACTGCCCCATAGGTTTTCCAAGGCTTTAACTCTTTATGGAAGCAGACTGCCACGTTTTTCTCCTGAGGAACAGCCAGTGGGTTTGAACAGCCGACCTTTAGGTTAGCAGTTGAGATCTTAACCAATGAGAAAGAGGGCTCCTCTAGACAGACAACAAATAAGAGAAATTAGTAAAATAGTAAGTGCTAACAAGTACTAAGGAGAAAAAATAAAGCAAGGAAGTTTTCTTAGTTTCTTATGCTGCTGGAACAGAAATACTACAAGTGCATGGGTTTAAAGAACAGAATTTTATTTTCTCATAGTTTAGGAGGCCTGAAGTCCAAATTCAGGGTGCTGGCTATAGGGGAAGGTTCACTGTCTGTGGGCTCTGGGAGAAAGATCCTTGTCTCAGTTCCTGTAGCCCCCGTGTTCCTTGGTTCCTTGTCAATCTTCAGGTGGCATCTCTGTTCCCTGTTTGTGCTTCCAACCCTATCTAATCTGCTCTTTTTATAATGCTGGAGTGATTAGGCTTAGGGCATGCCCTACACTGATGTGACTAACATTTCATAACAAATAGAGTTACATCCACAGGTACAGGGGTTATGATTTCAACACATTGGGAGAATACAATTCAATACAATTCAATCCATTACGGAAGGAGACTATAAAACGTTGGTGTTAAGTTTTGCAGGTTAACTGAGATAACTTTTAGGTAAAGAGCTAAAGGAAATGATGGAGTTAGCCATGCAGATGTCTATGAAGAATGTTCCAGACAGAGGCAACAGCCGTTGCAACATTCCTAAAATGAGAAAATCCTAGTATGTTTGAGGAATGAGCAGCAATGAAGCCAGTGTGGCAGAATGTGGTAGTGAAAAAATAATGGGACACAACAAACTCACTCCTAGGAATATACCCGAGAGACTTGAAGCAGTGATGTCAAGAGACAAATGTACACCAGGGTTCACTGCAGCACTATTCATAACAGCCAGGAGGTGGAAATAATTCAACTCTCCATCACCAGATATATGGATAAAGAAAACGTGGTACTTACAATGGAATATTACTCCACTGTAAAGAGAAATGAAGTCCTGATACTTGCAACAACGTGGATGAACCTGGAAGACATCTTCAGTGAAACAAGACAATCACAAAAGGACAATTATAGTATGGTTTCACTGGTATGAAATACTTAAAATAGGCAAACATATAGAAATCAGAGTTTAACAGTAGTTAGCAGGGGTGGGAGAGAAGAGGAAAAAGGGAAATTTTGTCTAGATAGCATTGAAGTTTTGTTTATGGTGATGGAAGATATGGCAGTGGATATTGGTGATGGTTGAACAACATGATTGATGAAACTGGTTTTATTGAATTGTACAAGTGATAATAATTGAATTGGTCAATGTGTTAGCTATATATTTTTTTTCAAGACTTAAAAAAAGAAACATAACCTAAAGCACAATAAAAGTGAAAAAGAAAAAAGTAAAAGGACAAACAGTAAGAGAGGTTAGAAAGGTGGAGAGTGGACAGAGCACATCAAGTAAGAATAGTTGGTGAGTGAAATGGGGGAGCCACTTCATGAATGTTTGCAGAGGGGTAACTAACATTTGAAATCAAAAGCACTCTGGGTGGTGAATAGTCTGTATGAGGGACAAGGGGAGAAGCAGGGAGTCCAGTTAGGAAGCTCCTGCAGTAATCCAGGGAAGAGATGATGGTGACTTGGACAAATTGGTAAGAATGGAAATGCTGAGAAGCAGTCAGGTTCTAGGTATATTCTGAAGAGAAAGACAACCAGATTTGCTGATAGATTGGATGGAAGTGTGAGAGCAAATGAGCAGTCAAGGATGACTCCAATGGTTTTGGTCTCAGAATGAGAAGAATGGACTACTACCAGCAAAGATGGGGAAGGCTACGGGAGGAGTAAACCAAAAACAAAGAAAACAAAAGCCGACCCATTGCCGCTGAGTCCGTTACAACTCATACCGAACCCATAGGGCAGGGTAGAACTGCCTGACAGCGTTTCCAAAGAGTGGCTGGTGGATTCAAACTGTCAACTGTTTGGTTAGCAGTCGAGCTCTTAACCATTGTGACACCAGGGAGCCATGACGGGAGTAAGCATACTTAAATTCTCCTTTTTTATAGAACTTACCCGGTAGTGTGCTGGTTAATGTTTAACAGCTGGATTCCAGGGCGAGGGCAGCCCTGATTAATAGTTTTTGCCAGTTTCTTTGGTGTAAATACTCCCACCGTGGGTAATTTCAAGCTACTGGCGTGATGTCCCAGAACACGAGTTGAGAAGTGACAGAAACAACAGACGCTTACAATGTGGTATGAATCCGCATCAGCACACCACTGAATCACTTCTAACTGTTTATTATAGTTTTTCTGTGTTTGTCTTACCTCCCCTTCTCAATAATAGACTCCTTGAAAACAGAATCTATTATTTTTAGATTCCAAAAGTCCTAGGAGAAATACCTTACATATATACATCAAATGAATGTTGAAGATATATATGGATATAATTGATATTAATTATATTTTGACATTACTTGGTATGCCAAGTGTTTTGACTTCGCTGAAATTCTAAAAAATATTTTTTTCCATTGATATCGTTCTTAAACTGGAGAACACATTTTTCTGGATTTCAAATCATTCATTTCTTTTGAAGGCATATAGGCAGTTGAGCAAAAGTACTTCTATGTTCATTAAATTTCAGTCCTCAGTAAAGAGATAAGAGGAAGAAGGAAAACAATTTCAAGGAGGAGGGCGCTAAACCATGACTTTTGCCAGTGAAGCTCTACAGTTGGATCTCACGTCCTCTGAGATGCTTCTCCTCCTTCTTCTCTTCCTCCCTCTCCTGATTCCTCCTCCTCTTCCTCTGTTTCAAATCTTAAAGTTTAAGGTCAAGGAACATGAGTCTTAGTTAATCAGAAAAAAAAAATCCTACTGCCAGGGATTTAACTACAATATAAACTTAACTTTTTCACCAATTTCTTGAATCCACATTGAAAATACATTTAATTACCTGTCCTTTTTATTTAAGTTTACCCTTCTTAGGATGAGCTCTGCCTTTTGTATTTTAGTAATGGTTCTAAGTTTTTTCCATGTAAAGGAGGGCACGTGAGAACAGAGATGAAAAATAAATATATTGATTATTAATATATTCATTGGCTTCTCTTTTAAGCAGCCAGGTTAGAATCACTGAATCAAGAGAAGTTTGGACTGTATTTTGATTTAATTTATCTTTTATAAGTGCTCCTTTTAGGAATGTAAGTTAAAAATGGTTGCAAATTTTTGCGTAAAAGTATAGTAGGCTTCCTGTTGGATAGGTGTTCAAACATAGCCAAAATACTAATTTCTCTTTTTCATTCAAGTTGAAATGATGTCCATGCTGTGGTGAAATTGGTGTGTGTTTAATTGGAAGATGAAAATTCCATTATGCGTTAGGAAAAAACAAAGTAAAGATGGCATTCTGTGATTTTTTTTCTCTTTTTGTAAACAACAAGTTTTTATATTATTTTTGAAATACTAACGGTTTGTGTATATTTTATTCAAGTGAAAATGATCTCTTTGCTATGGTGTTTTTTTTGTGTTTTGTTTTTAGCAGCTGGACGTCTTGGACTTCAAGGTAAATCTATTTTTATAATAGAAAATTTATATTACAGTACTGAAAACAAGATTGAGGTGCTAGAGCTTTTCTAATATATGTACAGTATTGATACAGTGTGCTTTTTCTTTTTGCTCAAATAAAAATTATCTTTTGCTGAAATGACTTTTTGTTGTTTGTTTTTAGGCCTTGAAACTGTGGCACGAGGTAAAAATTTTATTTATTTCTTGGGATATTGCATAACTGAAACAAAACTAAGATACTGTTGTCTGCTTACGTTGTTGCTGTTGTTAGGTGCCGTTGACTCGGTTCCGACTCATGGCAGCCCTATGTACAACAGAAGGAAACACTTCCCAGTCCTGAGCCATCCTCACAATCCTTGCCGTGTCTGAGCTCATTGTTGCAGCATTATGTCAATCTATTTTGTTGAGGGTCTTCTTATATGTTAATGTAAATATTAACTTGGGGTGATGTGACCATGTGTTACCTATCAAAACCAAACCTGTCACCATCAAGTCGATTGCAACTCATAGCAACCCTACAGGACAGAGTAGAACTGCCCCATAGAGGTTCCAAGGATTGACAGGTGGATTTGAACTGCCGACCTTTTGGTTAGCAGCTGAGTTCTTAACCATTACGCCACCAGAGCTCCTGTGTTACCTACTTATAGCTTGGCTTAAACATTCGTTTATACCAGGGGACTTTTTTCACAGTGTGATAAACTCTCATTCTCACGCTCCCCACCTCCAGCCTGCAGACCAAAGAACCACCCAAACGGACCCTTCTTGCACATTTCATCTTTGCTGAATGCCCTTCTCTTTAATTCATGCTCAAAACCAAAGCAGCTCCTGAAGAAATTGCCACCAGTGGAAAGAAACATCTTTTCATGAGAAATGTTTTCTTATTTTCTTATGCAGACAAAACGTCCTCGAATCCTCTAGCTCTCTGGGGTAAACTTTTTCTTTAATATTCATATAAAAAGACACAAGTCCTCAGTCCACAAGTTCATGGTGCTCCTCAGTATTTCTTAAGATTTCTGGGGACATACATGGTCAAGATCACTCCTTGCTCTAAATACCTATACTTAATGACTTCTCGGTATTCCCTCTCTCTCATCACTTTGCCCTCCAAGGCTGCTGTTCTTTTTCCTTTTCTTTATTTCTTTTCTTCCTTGTTTTTTGCCTTCTTTCCCTCCCTTCCTCCTCCTTCCCTCCCTCCTTCACTTCCTTCCTTCCTAGTTTGGACCTCAGGTGCAGGTGGATGAATTAACCATATTCCTCACTTCATTGCTCACTACCATCATTGGTCCAGGCCAGGGCCCTGTCTTGTTTGCTTTTAATTCCTCTTTAACCCTGTACCAACCAAACCAAACCCACTGCCATCGAGTCCATTCCGACTCATAGCGACCATGTAGGACAGAATAGAACTGCCCCATAGGTTTTTCAAGGCTGTAACTCTTTATGGAATCAGACTGCCACATCTTTCTTCCAAAATCAGCTGGTGGGTTCGAATCACCAACCTTTAGTTTATCAGCAAGTTCTTAATAACTGAGCAACAGGGCTCCTCTAGAGAGACAACAAACAAGAGAAATTAGTAAAATAGTAAGTGCTAAGTGCTAAGAAGTCCTAAGGAGAAAAAATAAAGAAAGTAAGTTTTCTTAGTATCTTAGTGCTGAAATACCACAAGTGGATGGCTTTAAAGAATAGAATTTTATTTTCACACAGTTTGGGAGGCCTAAAGTCCAAATTCAGGGCACTGACTATAGGGGAAGGCTGAATCTCTGTAGGCTCTGGGGAAAATATCCTTGTCTCAGCTTCCGTAGCCCCAGTGTTCATTGGTTCCTTGGCAATCTTCACATGGCATCTGTTTTCCCCCATTTGTGCGTCCTTCAGTATCTGATCTGCTCTTTCTGTAATGCTGGAGTGATTAGGTTTAGGGTATGCCTTACACTGACATGACTAATTAACATAACAGAAAACTCTATTCACAAGCAGATTTTACATCTGTTAGGATTCTTGTGCTAGGATTCCAAAACATATTTTGGGAGAATACAGTTCAATCCATTATGGAAAGAGAATATAAAATGTTGGGGTTAAGTTATAAAGGTTTACAGAGGTAAACTTTAGGTAAAGAACTGAAGGAAATGATGGAATTAGCCATACAGATGTCTCGGAAGAGTGTTCTAGACAGAGGCAACAGCCACTGCAACATTCCTAAGACGAGAAAATCCTAGCAAGTTTGAGGAATGAGCAGCAATGAAGCCAGTGTGGCAGAATGTGGTAGTGAAAAAACAATGGGACACAGCAGTCACACTCTTAGGTATGTACCAAAGAGACTTGATGCAGTGATGCTGTAAAAATGGCTTGCGGGCAGTGTCTGACCTCCTCCAACCTCCCGAGGGCGAAGGAGAATCAAGATCAACAGCCCAAGGCTGATTCTTATGAGGTGGGAGTCTGACAAGCCTTCTCTCTCCGCCATTTTTACCAATTCTGACACCAACCGTCCCTCCCACAGCATGCTCTACTGGGTTTGATAATGCATTGCAATGGCCATACAGAACTCACAGACCATACTCACAATTGTGGGGTTTATTAGGGAAGTAACAGTCACAATTCAGGCTCAGAAACAGTCAAGATACAGTTCTTCCATCAGGATAGCCTCTTCCCAGCTGTGCTCACAGGCACACCTCTCCCTGGCCCTCAGTCTCTGCCTAAAGGCACTCAGCTTTCTCTCTCCATGGGCCAGGAAGCCCGCCGCATCTCCTGCTGCCACGTCTCTGCTGCGGGTGTCTCCTGCTGGTCTCTCCTTCCTTGGTGGTGGTGGGCTCCTCCTCTCTGCTCTGGAATTGGCTCTTTTAAGGCAAAACTGATCAATTCCCTTTGTAGGTCACAATTACCGTATCACACAGTCAGCTGGGTGGGAGTTACAAGACCATGGCTAGAAAGGCCACACACAAAAGTAACTAATCCATCACATATGCCAACAGACACATGTACACCAATGTTCACTGTAGCACTATTCACAATAGCCAAGAGGTGGAAACAACCCAAATGTCCATCAACAGATATATGGATAAAGAAAATATGGTGCATACACACAATGGAATATTACTCTGCCATAAAGAGAAATGAAGTCCTTACACACGCAACAAACATGGATGAACCTCGAAAACATGCTGGGTGAAACAAGTCAATCACAAAAGGACAAATATAGTATGGCTTCACTAATATGAAATGTTTAAAATAGGAAAATAGATAGAAATCAGAGTTTAACGATAGTTACCAGTGGCAGGAGGGAAGAGGAAAAACGGGAAATCTTTGTCCTGATAGCATTGAATTTTGGTTTATGGTGATAGAAAATATGGCAGTGGATAGTGGTCATGGTTGCATAACATGATTGATGTAATTGGTTTCACTGAATTGTACAAGTGACAATAGTTGAATTGGCCAATGTTGTGTTACCTATATTTTCATAACACTTGAAAAAAAAAGAAAAAATATGTAAAGGGACAAACAGTAAGACAGTTTGGAAAGGTAGAGAGGGAGCAGGGCAGATCAAGTAAGACTAGATGGTAAGTGAAATGGGGGAGCTACTTCATGAATGTAAGCAGAGGGGTGACTAACATTTTAAATCAAAATCACTCTGGGTAACTGGACAAAGAAAAAGCAAAGAAGTTTCCTAGACACATCCAAACACTTTGAGGGACAGAGTAGCTGGAACTGAGGCCTGGGGACCATACTTTTGGGGGACATCTAGGTCAATTGGCATAACAGAGTTTATAAAGAAAATGTTCTACATCCCACTTTGGTGAGTAGTGTCCGGGGTCTTAAAGGCTTGTGGGAGGCCACCTAAGATACATCTAAAGCAGGATGAGAAGGTAGGAAGGGATAGGAACTGGTCGAACAGACACAGGGAACCCAGGGTGGAAAGGGTGAGCATGCTGTCACATTGTGGGGATGGCAACCAATGTCACAAAACAATATATGTATAAATTATTGAATGAGAAATTAACTTGAGTGTAAACCTTCACCTGAAGCACAATTTAAAAAAGAGAGAAAAAGAATATATATATAAAATAAAATAAAACCAAAAACACTCAAAGGACCAAAAAAAAGCATTTTGGGTAGTGAATAGTCTGTGTGAGAGACAAGGGGAGAAGCAGGAGGACCAGTTAGAAAGCTACTGCAGTAATCCAGCGACGAGATGATGGTGACTTGGACAAGTTGGTAAGAATGGACATGGTGAGAAGAGGTCAGGTTATAGATATATTTTAAATATAGAGCCAACAAGATTTGCTGATAGATTGAATGGAGGTGTGAGAGCAAAAGAGCAGTCAAGGATGACTTCAGTGGTTTTGGTCTGAGAATAAGGATGGACTACTACCAGCAAAGATGGGGCAGGCTATGAGAGGAGTAAGTGTACTTATATTCTCCTTTTTTATGGAACTTATCCAGTAGTGTGCTGGTCAGTGTTCAATGACTGGATTCCAGTGTGAGGGCAGCCCTGATTAATAGTTTTTGCCAGTTTCTCTGGTGTAAATAGTCCCACCATGGGTAATTTCAAGCTACCGACATGATGTCCCAGAACATGAGTTGAAAAGTGATAGAAACAACAGACCCTTATGATCTGATTTGAATCAGTATCAGCACACCACTGAATTACTTTTAAGTGTTTATTATAGTTTTTTGTATTTGTCTTACTTCCCCTTCTCAATAATAAACTCCTTGAAAACAGGATCTATCCAATTATTTTTAGATTCCAAAAGTCCTAGGAGAAGTGCCTTACACATACACATTAAATAAATGTTGAAGATATGCGTGGATAGATTAATTGATATTAATTATATTTTGACATTACTTGGTATGCCAAGTGTTTAACTTTGCTGAAATTAAAAAAAAATTTTTTTCAATTGATATTGGTTCTTAAACTGGAGAATATGCTTTTCTGGGTTTCAAATCATTTATTTCTGTTGAAGGCATATAGGCAGTTGAGCAAAAGTACCTTTATGTTCATTAAATTTCAATCCTCAGTAAAGAGAGGAGAGGAAGAAAGAAAAAAATTTCAAGGAGGAGGGTGCTAAACCATCACTTTTGCCAGTGAAGCTCTGCAATTGGATCTCACTTCTTTGAGATGCTTATCCTCCTTTTCTTCTTCCCCCCTCCTGATTCCTCCTCCTCTTCCTCCTGTTTCAAATCTTAAAATTTAAGATCATGGAACATGAGTCTTAGTTAATCAGAAAAAAAAAAAAAAAATCCCACTGCCAGGAATTAACTACAGCATAAAATTTACTTTTTCATCAATTTCTTGAGTCCGTATCGAAAATACATTGTCACCTGTCATTATTACTTAAGTTTAGTCTTCTTTAGGATGAGTTCTGCCCTCTGTATTTTAGTAATGGTTCTAAATGTTCCCCCACTCTACCTTTTGTATTTTAGTAATGGTTCTGAATGTTCTCCACTTAATGGAGGGCACGTGAGAGCAGAGATGTAAAATAAATATATTCATATATTCACTGGCTTCTCTTTTAAGTGGTCAGGTCAGAATCACTGAATCAAGAGAGTTTTGGATTATATCTTGATTTAATTTATCTGTTATAAGTCCTCCTTTTAGTAACGTAAGTTAAAAATGGTTGTAAAATTTGCATAACTGTATAGTAGGCTTCCTGTTGGATAAGTGTTCAAATATATCTAAAATACTCATTTCTTTCTTTCATTCAAGTTGAAATGATGTCCTTGCTGTGGTGAAATTGGCATGTGTTTAATTGCAAGATGAAAATTCTGTTACACCGTAGGAAAAACCAAAGTAAACACAGCATTCTGTGGGTTTTTTTTTTTTTTAATCTTTTTGTAAATATTAAGTTGGTATATTATTTTTGAAATATAATAATCTGTGTATATTTTATTCAAGTGAAAATGATCTCTTTGCTATATTTTTGTGTGTGTGTGTTTTGTTTTTAAAAGCTAGACATCCTGAACTTGGAGATAAATCTATTTTTATAGTAAAAATTTTATATTATAGTATTGGAAACTAGATTGAGGTGCTTAAGCTTTTCTAATGTATGTACAGTATTGATGTAGTGTACTTTTTCTTTTTGCTCAAATAAAAATTATCCTTTGCTGAGGTGATTTTCTTTGTTTTTTTAGGCCCCGAACCTGAGATAGAAGGTAAATTCTTGGGATATTGCAGAATTGTAACAAAACTAAGATAAGATACTGGTGGCTTCTTGCATTGTTGTTAGGTACCATCGACTCGGTTCCAACTCCTAGCGACCCTATGTACAACAGAAGGAAACACCGTCCAGTCCTGAGCCATCCTCACAATCCTTGTGATGTCTGAGCCCATTGTTGCAGCCACTGTGTCAATCCAGCTTGTTGAGGGTCTTCTTGTATATGAATGTAAATATTAACTTAGGGCGATGTGACTGTGTGTTACCAGTAGCTTGGCTTTAAAGTTAGTTTAGACACAAGGACCATTTTTCACAGCATAATAAACTCCCATTCTTACACTCCCCACCTGCAGCCCGCAGACCAAATTACCATCAAAATGGATCCTTCCCTGCACATTTCACCTTTGCCAAACGTGCGCTTCCTCTTTAATTTATCCTCAAAACCATGGCAGCTCCTGATGAAATTGCCACCAGAGGAAAGAAACATCTTTTCATGAAAGATGTTTTCTTATTTACTTATGCAAGCAAAATGTCCCCAAATCCTCCAGCTCTTTGAGGTCACCTTTTACTTCAATATTCATATAAAATGACTCAAATCCTTATTCCACAAGTTCCTGGTCCTTCTCAGGATTTCTGGGGACATACACGATCAAGATCACTCTTTGTGAATAGTTGCTCAACTCGAAGAATGTATCAATGTCACTGAATTATACATGTAGAAATTATTGAGTAGTTGTGTGTTCTGCTGTGTATATTCTCAATAACAACAAAAATAAAGTAAATGATAAAAAGAAAAACTCAATAAACTGACCTAAACTAAAAAAAAAAAAAAAAAAATCACTCCTTGCTCTAAATACCTATGCGTAATGACTTCTCAGTATTCTCTCTCTCTCATCATTTTGTCCCCCAAGGCTGCTGTTCTTTTTTCCCTTCTTCATTTCTTTTCTCCCTCCATTTTTTCCTCCCTTCCCTCATCCCTTCCTGCCTTCCTTCTTCCCTCCCTTCCTTCCTTTTCATTCCTTCTTCCCCCCATCCTTCCTACCTTCTTTCCCTCTTTTTTCTTCTTCCTCTTTCCTTCCCTCCCTCCCTCCTTTGCTTTCTTCTTCCTAGTTTGGACCTGAGTGCAGGGGGATGAGTTGGCCATGCTCCTCAGTTCATTGCTCACTATCATCATTGGTCCAGGCCAGGCCCCTCTCTTGTTTACATTTTAAATCTCCTTTATCCCTATACCAGCCAGACTAAATCCACTGCTGTCAAGTTGACTGCAACTCACAGTGACCCTGTAGGACAGAGTAGAACTGCCCCATAGGGTTTCCAAGGCTGTAAATCTTTATGGAAGCATATTATCACATCTTCCTCCTGTGCAGCGGCTCATGGGTTGGATCTGCTGACCCTTAAGTTAGCAGACGGGAGCTTAACCGCTGAGCCACCATGGCTCCTTCTTTATCCCTACACCTCACTCTTATTACCCTCTCCCCATAGGCAACCATTTTAATATGTTTTAATGTTTATTTCTTTTTGTTTGTATACATTCTTATCCAATGTTTGTTCATTTTGTGAGTATATATTTCTCATTCACATAGTATTGTGATGTAGATATTATGTTTTCTTTTCATATAGCATTGTTTTTAAGATCTGTCCACGTTATTATGTGTTCATCTAAAAAAGGCATTATTGCTTCTAACTGCTGCGTAAAATACTCTGTGGTGTTCATCTTTCACAATTTACCCTCCGCTTTCCCAGTAATGAGCTCAGCTGCGAAATCACACTGCAGTGAATATCTTCTCCTTAAAGATGTCTGGGAGGATTTTGGGGGGAATTGTTGGGTCTTAGAGCATGCGTGTACTTAATTTGACTAAGTAGTGCCTGGATGTTCTCTGGCATAGCTGTACCAATCCACATTCTCCACCAACAGTGCCTGAGGGTTCTCTGCAACCTACCAACATTTCCCATTACCCTGCTTTCTAATTTTGCTAGTCTCATAAAGTACTATGGCATTATTTCTTCATTTATACTTCTCTATTAATCAATGATTTTGATTTTCTTATCATGTGCATGGTAGTTTTTGTTTTTTTAGTTTCCGCTATTCTTTTGCCACTTCACATTCTTTGCCCAATTTCATATTGGGGTTGCAGTCTTCTTTCTTGTTGGTTTGCAGAGTTTCCTTTTACATTCTAGATATCAATCCATGGTTAGTTTTAGACATTGCAAATACCTTCTTTCAGTCTGTCATCTATCTTCTAATTTTATCCATGGTGAGCTTTCTTGAATAGAAATCTTTAATTTTTATGTAATTAAAGTCATTAATTGTTTTTCTTATGGTTTGTGTTTTTGAAGCTTTGTGCTGCTCTTCTTCTATGCAGTCCACCCCAGCTACATTGGATTCAGTCCATCTTCCTTTGTTGAGCATTTAATATGAATGTTTGAGACTCCTCTTTGATTCATGAAGGTGCTTTTGTAAATACTTCTGAGCAGAGTCTTTTGGTCCCAGAAAACCACCTAGGTGTATGACATGCCAAATACATGTATGCCTGTCCCAAAGAGAACTTGGGAAATCCGTGGGCAACACACAAGATTGCTCCAGCAAAGTAGCATTACCCTTCTGGGCTATGCCATTCACAACCAGATCCTCCTCCAAGGCAGAGCAACATGTTGGTGGGAGTCAGCCTTTGAATCCCCAGGTTAAAGAAATCATGGTTCTGTCCACTGACGTTCTAGGACAGCACAGGAAAGATGGAGTCATCCCATATAACTTCAAGGGAAAGTGTAAGGAAACAAAGAGAATCTTTTTTTGTTTTTTCTTTTTGATTTCTGTATCCCAGACACCTAATATTCACCATGCCTAATACTGAAACAAATGAAATATCCTTCTTTGCACAGCCCCTTCACAAAGTGCCTTATTATCTTCAAAGGAGAGCGGACTTTTTAAATATCAGCTCAGGACTCACTTGGTCAGTGACTGCTCCTTATCTTATGTATAAAAAAAAAAGTTTCCATCGAGTCGATTTCAACTCATGGAGACCCCATGTGTTGCACAGTAGAACTGCGCTCCGAGGGTTTTCAAGGATGTGATCTTTCAGAAGCAGATTACCAGGCCTTTCTTCTGCGGTGTCTGTGGGTGGGTTTGAACTACCAATGTTTCAGGTAGTAGTGGTGTGATTAACCATTTGTACCACCAGGGGATACCAAGACCTTGTGAACGCAGACAGCTGAAAGAGAAGCTTCCCTTTTCGGGCCCGTAAATTTTGTCTGCTCTAAATGCAGAACTCAGGTACTGTGGGTCTCACCACCCAATTATATCAACAGTTTACTCCAGCAATAGTCTCTAGGTAGTTCATCTGGAGCCTTCTCAATTGCCGAGTGATAGAAAGGAAGTAAGACGATGTGCCTTGGGGATTTTGTACAGTCCTTTTTAAAGAAAGGACAAGTTTAAGACAGAAAAGTATTATCAAAGTTTAAATTATTTTAGTGATTTAATTTTACTATAAACACAACTTGAAACATTGGAACTTTTTGCTTTATTATAGAAGACACGAAACTCTTGACAGCTGATATGGATGCAGGTAAGTTCAATTTTACTTCTTGAGTAACAGTGGTTCAGTGGTTTATGTTTACATTTTAATGTTATGTGTGTGTGTGGGTATACATAGATTTGATTCAAGCAATAATTAACTTTGATATCAATTAAGTTAAAAAATAGCATTATTCTTTTCCTATGATTTTTCAGAAAAACAAGCATAAATCCTTTTGAGAATTGTTTTAAAAAATGAGTTATTTCACGTGGCTGCTTTTGAAGTGAAAACAACACTTTACTGCTATATAAAGTTTTTCTGTTTGTTGCAAGCTTTGCCAAGTCAGTCTTGTCGAAAACAACCAGATTTCAAATGTGCCCCGTGGCATACATTTTGAAATAGAAAAACAATCTAATTTAATTGAATTAACCTGCTCTTTCACAAGACTTTTAACATTATAATACAAGGCCTGCGTCTTGGGAAGATAGTAATTGATAAGAGCTTTCAGGTCAGATTGAGCTGCATTGAATCCTGACTTGGTTATTGATTGGTTATGTAACTTTGGGTAACTTAACCTCAAATAAATTGGGAATAAAATAGGTGCTATTTCAGGGGGATTTGGGACTTAAAACTCAGATGAGACTCCCTTCTATTTGCCAGGCTCCCAAATTATTGAACAGTTTTTTTGTTTTGTTTTTTAAATCAGGCAATGAGTTAATGATTTAGAACTCAAAAGATACTGATATCAGTCAGAAGGGCTTTTTCAACAAAGGCCCTTTATTTTTTACTCAAGATAACATTAATTTTCAGGTACTACCCAAGCTAGTTTCACAGTTCCCAATGGATGAGGCATCTCTTCTTTCAAGTTCAAACAGAAATTTAAGACTTAACATTACACTCTTTCCCTAACTCAGTTCTTAGGCTGGGTAAGACCAAAAAGAAAAAAGAAAAAATCTATCTTACCTACATTCATTTACAACTTCTTTCTCTTGGCGACCTACTTCCTTCTTGTACGCCCAAAATGATTCCCAGTGATATTTAATTTCCTTTCTCATGTGGGGCTCCATAGGTGTTACTAAGAAGCAAGCTTGCAGAAACATTCCTGAAGTGGTGAAACAGAAAGAGAGCATCTGATGCTTCTACTGTCTTCCTTTGCCATGACTTCTCTTGTAAACACGTGTCTCAAGCCTTGCTCTGTCACGTTCCCAGTGATACACGTGCCACACGCGAACAATCACGGGGGAAGGAAACATCATCACACATCAAGTGACTAAAAAACATTCCAAGGCCCGCTGATGCTGGATTGTCCAGGGGTCCCTGGCACGAAACCTCTCAGGCCTGATACGATGATTAAATAAGATAAACTATGTAGAAACTACTTAGCAAGGAGCCTGACACATAGAAAGTATTCAGTATTAACATCATTAATGCTAATATAACATCATTGAAAAGACTTCCACATAAACAGTCTCTGCAAAATGAAAACTATGAGGGTAAGAAGATGCAGTTCTCCACATCAGCTTATTCTGATGATTTCGGAATGTGGCCCCACCATGTTACTGTAGTAATGCCTGGACATGTGATGTCTCTCATCGGCTAGAGCCTGGTAAATGTTTAACTCCTCGGCCAGCCTCTTTCTGCCACTTGTCTGCCTTTACGCAGAGCTTCAGACAATCAAGCCAATTTTAATAGTAAGCCAACATTTGTAAAAAGATGAATAGTACAGTTTAGCATCCAAAATAATTTACTTATGTATCAGGCCCATTTTGTATTAGCTATGACTCTGTTCTGGTTTTGTGGTATAGATAATCAAGAAGTGTCTGTCCACAAGGTAATGAGTTCAAAATAATAATAATACAACGTCTTCCTTTCTTGAAGAAAGAAAACGGATAAAGTCACTTTTACCTAAGCTATCCTGTGGAGTTACAAACAGCGAGCATATTCGAAGGAAACGAGTCGTGGGAGGAAAGGCAGCAGAAGCGGTAAACCTGGATGAAAAGACATAATGTTTATTTCTTAGGAAGAGCCCAAGGCGGTGGGGCGGGGGGAAGAGGAGGATGATATAATTACAAGCCACTGGGATCTTAGAACAGAAACTTCTTAGGGGTACTTCTTTGTAACGCTGTCTGGTAGAATGGTAGTGGCAATACAAATGTCTTTTTTAGGGGGACTTCCCATGGCAGGTGGCCATTAGGGATGGTGAAAAAATCAACTGTGGAGGAATTTATATTGGTGGCTGTTGGATTCTGACCGCTGCACATTGTGTAAGGTAAAAAATGTCTCCAATAGATCTTGGATTTTCTCAAACAATGAAAATGCGTAATACAGATTGTGGAAAATGGTGAATAAAAACATATCTGAGAAAAGTCATTGAGAAGATGTACTTTATTAACTGTTAAATACCCTCAGATATTCATGACTGGGTTCCCAGATGCAATCACCCAGAACCTACTGGCTTCCCACAGACCAAACTGCTTGATCCCAGGTGGTAAGATCAAATGCCTGGTAGGTACTTCACTTGGCTCATGTGCATGGTGGAAAAGTCAGTAGACACTATCTACATTTTGTAGAGCTGGGATCAAACAGTTCGGAGGAGTTTATGACTGAAGAGTTTGTAAAGAGATAATACTAACCCAGCATTGTCTCTAGTCTCACCTCAACAAAGTTGGTACTTAAGGAGCTGCATGCATTCAAAAGCTCCAAACACACAACTCATTTTTTTCTCATTTTTTCCCATCCATGTACCCTTAACTGTATTTGATATGTGTTTCAAGCAATAAAGGAACTGATAAAAAGCTCAGGGATAATTAACTCACAAGGCTAATCAACTCTAGCACTGACCAGCTTGCTCTGTGATTCTAGATGAATAGTTTACATGGGATACACTGCACCACTCCAGGGGGTGCTCCTTACACTGTTTGGAAGTTCCCCAGGCTGCAGAGGGTCCTAACTGATGGACCACGAGTCACTGAGGGATTAGCCAGCTGAGGAGTTGGAGGAGACTTGACTGCTGAAGATCAAGTCATGTTTTTTCCTTCTTTGACAGGGTTTTGAGATTCTCAGGTCAGAGAGTGGGGTAGGCATAGCGGTTCTTTTTTTTTTTTTTTTTTAATTTTATTGTGCTTTAGGTGAAAGTTTACAGTTCAAGTTGGTTTCTCACTCAAAAATTTATACACATATTGTTTTGTGACATTGGTTGCAATCCCCACAATGTGACAACACTCTCCCCCTTTCCACCCGAGGTTCCTTGTGTCCATTCATTCAGTTCCTGTCCCTTCCTGCCTTCTTGTCTTGCTTTTGGGCAGATGTTGCCCACTTGGTCTCGTGTATTTGACCGAACTAAGAAGCATGTTCCTCACATATGTTATTGTTTGTTTTATAGGCCTGTCTAATCTTTGTCTGAAAAGTGGGCTTCAGAAATGGTTTCAGTTCTGAGTTAGCAGAGTGTCTTGGGGCCATAGACTCGGGGTTCCTCCAGTCTCTGTCAGAACAGTACGTCTGGTCTTTTTTGTGAATTTGAATTTTTCTCTACATTTTTCTCCCACTCTGTCTGGGACTCTCTGTTGCGATCCCTGTCAGAGTGGGCCGTAGTAGTAGCCAGGTACCATCTAGTTCTTCTGAGCTCAGGCTAGTGGAAGCTTTGGTTCATGCGGTCCTTTAGTCCTTCGGGCTAATATTTTTCTTGTGTCTTTGGTTTTCTTCATTCTCCTTTACTCCGGGTGGGATGGGACCAATAGCTGTATCTTAGATGGCCACTCACAAGCTTTTAAGACCCTAGACACTACTCACCAAAGTAGAATGTAGAACATTTACTTTATGAACTGTGTTATGCCAGTTGACCAAGATGTCCCTGAGACTGTGGTCCCCAGCCCTCATACCTAGCAACTCGATTCCTCCAGGTGTTTGGATGTGTCTAGGAAACTTCCGTGACTTTGCCTTGGTCAAGTTGTGCTGACTTCTCCTATGGTGTGTGTTGTCTTTCCTTTACCAAAGTTGACACTTGTCTACTATCTAGTTAGTGAATTCCCCTTCCCCTCCCTCCCCACCCCCATAACGATCAAAGAGTTTTTTTTTCTGTGTGTAAACCTTTCCTCGAGTTCTTATAATAGTGATCTCATACAATATTTGTCCTTTTGTGATTGACTTATTTCACTCAGCATAATGCCGTCCAGACTTATCCATGTTTCGAGATGTTTCACAGACTCATCATTGTTCTTTATCTTTGCATAGTATTCCATTGTGTGTATGTACCATAAATTGTTTATCCATTCCTCTGCTGATGGACACTTAGGTTGTTTCCATGTTTTTGCTATTGTGAATAATGCAGCAATGAACATGGGTGTGCATATGTCTATTCCTGTGACGGCTTTTATTTCTCTAGGATATATTCCTAAGAGTGGGACTGCTGGATCATATGGTATTTCTACTTCTAGCTTTTTAAGGAGGCACCATATTGTTTTCCACAGTGGTTGTACCATTTTACATTTCCACCAGCAGTGCATAAGAGCTCCAATCTCCCCACAACCTCTCCAACATTTGTTATTTTCTGGGGTTTTTTTTGTTGTTTTTTTTTTCATTAGTGCCAGTATTGTCGGGGTGAGACGGCATTTCATTGTAGTTTTGATTTGCATTTCTCTAATGGCTAGTGATGGTGAGCATTTCCTCATGTGTCCTGTTAGCCGCCTGAATGTCTTCTTTGGTGAAGTGTCTGTTCATATCCTTTGCCCCTTTTTTTAATTGGGTTATTTGTCTTTTTGTTGTCGAGGGATTGCAGTATCTTGTAGATTTTAGAAATTAGACCCTTGTCAGATATGTCATAGCCAATTTTTTTCCCCAGTCTGTGGTTTGTCTTTTTATTCTTTTAATGAAGTCTTTTGATGAGCATAAATGTTTAATTTTTAGGAGCACCTAGATGTCTAGTTTCTCTTCTGGTGTTTGTAGTTAGTTATGGTTTGTTTTCCATTTGTACCATGTATTAAGGCTGCTAGCATTGTCCCTATTTTTTCTTCCATGATCTTTATCATTTTAGGTTTTATATTTAGGTCTTCCATCCATTTTGAGTTAGTTTTTGTGTATGATATGAGGTGTGGACCTTATTTCATTTTTTTATGAATGGACTTCCAGTTATGCCAGCACCATTTGTTAAAGAGGGCATAGTGGTTCTGATGCAGCATTGGCATGTGAGAGGATGTCTTCTGAACAAATGGAAAATATAAGATTCTTACAGGGCCAGTAAGATTAGATGTAAGTGACTAAATGACAGTACCCAAAGGTGTTGATTAATGAATCAAGGTTAACTTGGAGAGGGGCAGAGCTCAGGACTCTGGCCTCAGTTCTGAACTTTGGAATGAGTGAACATCATTTACTGACCACCTGTTACCGAGTAGGTACTGTGCCAGGTACTTCCATATATGTTATTTCATTTAATAGTACTAACAGTCCTAAGAAGTAAATATTATTCTCACCATTTTGTAGATAAGCAGACAGACTGACAAGCTGCATCATGTGGCTAAAGCCAAAGTACTAGTCAGTAGCAAAACTAGGAGGATAAAATCAAGCTCACTGTATTTGACAGTAACTTAGCTGAAGGTCTACTTAGCAAATCTTAGCAAATCCCCAAAGCTGGGAGGGATAGCAAAGACGTTGAATGATTAAATATGTTGAACAACATCCATAAAGATCTTCATGGATAGAAGCAATGAGCCAAATCTAATTTCTCCCATCTAAAAGACCCTTTTCTCTTGGCTTCTGTAACACAACACGCTCTTGGTTTTCCACCTACCTCTATGGCCATACCTTCTCTGCCGCCTTTCCAGGCTCTCTTCCCGGGACCAAGCATTATTGCTCAGGTATTACTGCTCAACTCAGATACTGAAGTTCGTCAATTCTTAGCCTGCCATCCTCTCCTCTCCTTACTCCTTCACCCTAATGTTATCTGTGATTTCAAATACCACTGCATCCTGGCAAAATAATACCTCCAGCCTGGACCTCTCCTCCAACCACTGACTCTATATTCAACTGCCTGTCAACACTTCTTGGCTATATCAAAAGTACATCAAATTCAAAATGTCTAAGACAAGTTCATAATGTCCTGTTCCAATATTTCCAATCTCAGCAAATGAGAACACCATTCATCTAGTTACACAAGGTGGAAATCGAAGAATCATCCCTGACCCATTTTACTCACTCATTCCCACCCTAGGTCAGCCGATAATATATCACCACCTCTAGATGGTATTTTTAATTTCTAATTATCTAATTCTCAAAACTTCTCTCCATCTCCACCATTACTGACACCTACCTTTACCTCGCGCCTGGATTATAAAAATTGCCTCCTGATTGGCTTACCTACATCTACTCTGCCCAGCCCCCTGCCCCCACCTACCCATTTTCTACTGTGCAGCAAGAGTGATATTTCCACACATGGTTTTGATCGTTTACCACTTAAATTCAATGGCTTTACATTCCCCTTTAAATGAAAAACTAAATGAAAAATTTAACCTGACCCATTAGGCCCCACGTGATCTGATGGTCTGACCCTTACTTAACTTTTTGCGGATCTCATCTTGCCCCACAGCATCACCTCCTGCCCCACCCACTCTGGACTTCTTTAAGATACTCAAGTGCACCTTGCTCCCTCCTGTAAAACCTCAAAAACAAACCAGTTGTGTCATGTCAATTCCAACTCATGGTAACCGCATGTGTTATAAAGTAGAATTGTGTTCCATAGGGTTTCCATGGCTATGACCTTTTGGAACCAGATTGCCAGGCTTTTCTTCCGAGGCACCTCTGGGTAGATTCAAACCACCAACCTGTCAGCTAGTAGTCGAGCACTTAACGTCTGCACCACCCAGGGACTCCTCCCTCATGCAAAGGGACCTTCCTGTGTCGTTCCCCTGCCTGACGTGATCTTCCCTGCCCTCTTTGCCTAGTTAATGCTATTCTTCATTCAGACCTGAGAGCTCAATCTTCACCTTTTCAGAGAATCTTCCCTGACCCCCTGAAGTCAAAGCCCTCTTTATAAGTTCTTAGAACCCCATGTCCTGTTCACTCTTCTCACTTTTCACAGTTGAACACATCGTAATCAGTTTCATCTATTTAATGCTGCCTCTTTCCATAGACCCTGAGCATCATGGGGCAGGAAGCATTTCTGATTTTGCTCATTGCTGCATCCCCAGTACCTAGCATGGTGTCTGATATATAGTAGGTGCACGGTAAGTATTTGTTGAGTACATTGAATGAATAAACAAGATTAACCCTTAACCCATGCTTAGAACCTTTGAACTTGAAAAACAACCAAAATTAATATGAAGCACAGCATCTGCAAACACTAATGGAGGAAAACCTGTGTGCTGAAGAACAAGCTGTTATTTCCTTCTTTGACAGAGTTTTGAAATTCTCGGGTCAGAAAAGTCGGGTAGGCGTAATGAGTCTGGATTCAGGTATACGTGCGTCCCATGTAAGCAATTTATCCAGAATCACAGAGCAAGCCGGTCGTGCTGGAGTAGTATGGGAGTTAATTAGCACTGAGCTTTGATCATTTCCTTTATCGCCTAGAATGCATGTCAATTATTTTTAAAGGTACATGATGGGTAAAATGATTGTGTGTTTGGAGCCCCTGAATGTATGTAGCTCTTTCATCAATAAACAAAAGCACCCCAAGCACCTCATTAGCTCCTGGGACGGTGTTTAACTGTAAGGATTAGAACCAACGTTTATGATTACCTGAATCATCATCATATAATGATAAATTATGTTCAGATTATGCTGTTTGAGAAGGCAGAAGGTATATAGAAAATACATTTTTAAAACATCTCCTTGAAGGTATTTAAAATAAGTTTTGTTGCTTAAGGAATATCCATTTTGTGAAATACTTGATTTTTTTGGAAATGCTAGGCCATGAGGTCATTATTTAACACTTTACTTTTAAAAGGGAGTCCCCGCCACATAAACCAGAGACTTCATCAGCCTGAGACCAGAAGAACTAGATGGTGACCAGCTACCACCAATGACCACCCTGACAGGGAACAGAACAGAGAGTCCCTGATGGAGCAGGAGAAAAGCAGGGTGCAGAACTCAAATTCTAGTAAAAAGACCAGACTTAATGGTTTGATTGAGACTGGAGGGCCCCAGAAGACATGGCCCCCAGACTCTCTGTTAGCCCAAAACTAAAACCTTTCCCGAGGCCAACTCGTCAGACAAAAATTAGACTGGACTATGGGACATAAAATTATACTCGTGAAGAGTGTGCTTCTTAGCTCGAGTAGATACAAGAGACTAAATGGGCAGCTCCCGTCCAGAGGTGAGATGAGAAGGCAGAGAGGGTCAGGAGCTGGTTGAATGGACACGGGAAATCTAGGGTGGAAAAGAGGAGTGTGGTGTCATAGTATAGGGAGAGCAACTAGGATCACATAACAATGTATGTATAAATTTTTGTATGAGAGACTAACTTGAATTGTAAACTTTCACTTAAAGCACAA